AAAAAGCAGATACATATATTTAGTCACTATCAGAATGTGCCCAGATGCTTGAGTGAAAGTCCTGAGAATGTGATGAAAGGGAGTTTCTCAGTAGTGGTAAAAGGGAATTGATGGAATAATTTACAACAGCAGGAGACCAGTTTGCTGGAGATGATAGTTCTAGGAGCAAAGACATTGCTACCTTTTATGGAACTATTGTAAATTGGAGATGGCATTGCTTACTTAATTGTAGCAGTTAGTTCAGTGGCTTTGCAGAAAAGACAGTAGGCTCGCTTTGATTTACCTCAGCCGAGTCTCTTAAATTCAACTTTTAAAAGGAGCCAAGTTTAGTGATCTGTTTACAGTGTCACTGCAACAAGAGCAGTAGGTTTAAGAAAGAGAGAGAGATGGCAAGCTCCAAACCAGCATCTGCTTACAATTTATCAGTTCATTTGATGGAAGGAGGAGTCTCTGTCATGAAGACAGAAAGATAGGATAATGACAGTGATGTTGACTTTGGAGCAAGAATCAAAACAAGATACTTTCTTTGTGCCATCAGCTTTAACCAGTAAATCGTAATTTCATTGTACAGGGAACACTATGCCACTGACTCCCACCCTTATTTTTCTTGGCTTACAGATGAGGAAATAACAGTGCTGTAAAATATCCATGTTTTCTGTAGAAAGCAATTATTCTCTTTGTGGTGGAAAAATGATTTTAGTGACCCCAGTCTTTCAAGATTGGAACCACCTTTCACCCTCCTATTTCCTCCCATGACCTGAAAGCTAGTGCTGACTGTGAAAGATCTTCAAAGTTCTGTCAGCTGTAATTGCTAATGTTTCTGCCATGGCACTTACTATCATTGAAGATTTGTAGTGTTCCCATGTGTTCAACACATGGCTACTAGAGAGTTCTCAAGTGAGGAATGACATCGTCACTGGAAAACAGTTTCCATCATAAATAAAACAACCACGAGCAGTTACTACAGACTTCCTTCGCATGGTGAATTAGGAGAAGGCACAGGAATGCAAGCTGATGCTTCAACTTATGTCAGAAAGCGCCAGAGTGAAAGAGAAAATACTCTATATATGTCACAGGAGAGTGATGTGTTTAATCTTTCATTGACTCAGAGAAACAAATGTGTCTGGCTGTATTCCAAGGTGGTTTTAAAAATGGAGTCATGCCAATGGTGCTGCCTATTAGGGGTACCAAAACGTTTACTTGCAACCAGGAATTCACACTGAAATAGGCTACTTTGGATAGACTGAAGCCTTGTCTGGTGCAAAGCAGATCTTCTCCAAGGAATCTCAAAGCCATTGGACTGTTCTTGAAGCTTTGGATACACTTCAGAGGGATCTTGCCAGGCTTCCATCAATTAAAATTTTACATATCACCCCTGAGTTCTTAATAAAAGGGAAATCCTGGGCAGGAATATTAGAAGAAAGGACTCTCTCTTTTTACTCCCCCCCCCCCCCAATTATAGTGTTTTGAAGGAGTGATCAAATTTTATTGAATCACTTTATTTTGATAGTTTTTTTCTGACTGTATCTGTAATGGCAGCAGGAACATAGAAATATGGCTTATAATGAATTGACTCATTAGTCCATGTATTCCAATGATTGTTAGTTCTTACTACTAGTGGCTCTCAGGAGTTTCAGGAAGGAATAATTCAATTCATTAGATCACAAATATATGAACAGACTCTGTGAGGAAAGCAATATTGGGCTGGGGGTGGGGGGGGATGTGTACGGTAATAAAAGAACTATATAGTGGAAATAAAGCAACCACACTAAACAAGGCACACACCAGACAAATAAATATCAAGAGGGGAACCAAACAGGAATGTCCCCTTTTTCCAGCCCTAGTCTCATTGGCCATTGAACTATTAGAAAATTCAATAAGGAACAACCCAGTCATTAAAGGATATAAAGTGCGCAAGGAAGACATGAGGATTAATCTGTATGCTGATGATGTTATGTATGGAAGTGTCATTACAATCAATAGTTAAAATAGTTAAGGATTTTGGAAAAAAATCGGGCCTCACAATTTATTTTGGAAAATCAGAGATACTGCATAAAAATCTAACATTGGAAGAACTCAAGAAGATTCAAAATATTATGGGAATTAAATTGGGGAAAAAGAAGATGAAATACCTGGGGGTAGATATCCCAAAAAATCTGAATAATATAATACCAATAATTTTAACCTTCTATGGAAAAATATAAGCAAACAAATTAACACACGGGGAAAGAAATTTTGAGATATATCCACAAGGTTAAAAATTTATAAGATGAAGATTTTGCTCAAATTCTTATTTTTGTTCCGAACCCTCCCAGTGAATATTCTTAACAATTTGCTGAAGAAATGGGATAACTCTATCAAAAAATGAGTATTGGGAGGAAACAAAAACAGAATTGCCAAGTTTCTATATTACAGTAAACAAAAAATGAGTGGATGGGGGGCTCCCTCTTTGGGAATATACTATGAGGCAAGTCAGTTAGCAAGGTTATTAGAATTTGAATTGGAAGGGTCAAAAGGATGGGTGCAAATAGAAAAGGAAGCAAATAGTTGGCAAAGGAGTTTCAGGAAGGAATGATTTTTCCTACTGTCCTGTTTCAGGATAGCAAGTGCCCTGGAGGAAACAACTGGGATTTTGGAGAGCAACCACTGGAGAAACCAAGCAGAATTAAATACAGATGTAATTAATAAAGACTAGGGTCAGACCATAAAAATAATCCAGTAAGTGTCCAAAGCCAAGCATTGAGTCACTAATGAGAATACTATAAGGAAGAATTCAGTGGCCAGGACACAAGAGCAAAGAATGACATACAGTTCAGAACAGAAATAGTGGATCCGTTGCCTTACAAGAAATTGTCTGTGCTAATTTATAGCCCAGCTGGGATGATCTTCACAGTATTCCTTCTTTAAAGCAGACCAAGGCTGGTCCTGGTCCATTGTGGCTGCTTCCTTTACATCCAACATTCAGAAGAATGTAGTATTTCTTATTCCAGTTCTTCAAGATCTACATGGGATGGTCCATGTTCTGCTTCCAATACAAGACTACTAGCCATCATGTTTTTGATGACGAGACGACAGTGCATGGGTATTGTAGTAACTGTTTATTAATTGTGTAATGTGTTAGGTTGTTAACTGTTTTTATACTGTAGCACTGAATTTTTGCTGTTCGTATTTGTTGTGAACCGCTGTGAGTCGCCTTCGGGCTGAGAACAACGGTATATAAGTAAGGTAAATAAATAAATAAATAAATAAATAAATAAATAAATAAATGGCTGATTATCTAGATTTTTCTTTTGTCAGAGGCAGCCTCCTTCAGGTAGATATGGCAGTCTACTTTTTATCTGCAGAACCTTGATGTTCCTTAGTAGCCTGCCATCCAAACACTAACCACACCAACTCTGATGGCTTCCCTTTTGGCAACTTATCCACCCAATTCAAGGAGGCAGTAATCATGTTCTGAGGCAATAATCATTCTACTATGTACCTGCAAGTAAGCCCTGGTGAGCTGAGTAGGATCCTGAGCAAATCTGTGTAAGATGCTGCTGCAAGTTTTAACTTTTTCATAATCATGACATATATTTCATTCCACTATCCAACCAAAGTTTTGATTAAATGCACCCAGCCCTCCATATTCACTGGGAGTAGGGGGATTGAGCCCCCATTAAAATGGAGAAAAAAAACCTACAACTAAAAAAATTATTTTGACTTTAGAGCATTCCTCTAAGGATCTGACCCGAACACTGGAGGACCTAGAGAGACCAAATTAATAAAAAGTGCAAATAATAAAGCCCACAAATGTCAAACCCACAAATGTAAAGGGCTTGCTTTATAATCGAGTTTTCCTTATTTTTTATTTTATCTGTTTACTCTCTTGAGAAAACCTAATTTCAACAAACAGGGAAAAAAACAGCCTGTGAAGCAGATAGTAACACCAATATCAACCACCTTAAAGACATGAAAATCAACTGAGAATCAAAGCCTTAAATGGTTTGCATATGTGAGAAATTGAACAAAGTTTGTATTATCTATCATTAGGTCAAGTATAAAGTGCAGTAAATAGTGCTTCTTTGTGAATGAACATTTTGCTAGTAGGCTTGGACCCGGATCAGTTTGACCGAAAGTGATTTGTAATATTTAGTGGGCTGTTTTGTGTAATCCTCCAAAAACAGAACAGGGAGGAGGGATCTGAAAAGCTGGGCAAAATTGATCAAGAGAGCCAGATTTAATGGCTGCAGGAGAGGATGGAGTTAAGTCTGCATTATACTTGAGGCTCCTGGAGAAGATCCTGCAGCATCTTTTCTCCCTCCCCAGTAGCAGAAAATTTCCCTAGGCTCCTTCTCCAGAGAGAGCCCTGCTGGGAACTCACTTTCCCAGCAGCACTTGCATGGGGCGAACATTGAAAATTCTCTTGGAGCATGATGGGAGTTAAGTTTTTCTCTCTCTATTTCTAAGCCAATAAAAGGCTTGGTTGTGTCCATGCTCTGATCGGCTGAGAATGGACACAACCGGTGACTACAATTCCCAGAACCCTCTCTTGCAGTTTATCTTATTTTTTTTAAAAAATGTTATGGTAAAAACTTAAAATAATTCTAAAAAATCAGTAGATTGGTGAATTGTTTTGAAACTTGGCAGACCTGCAGTTGTAAAAGGGATCTAAAACTGAAGAAGATTTCATGCAGATAGGCCTTAAAGTGACTGAGGATTGAGCTTGTAACCAATGGTCCAAATCTTTGCCGAATGAAAATGGAAACATTCCTCCCAATTCAAATAACTTCCCAGTAAACAGAATGAGGGGTTAGCCAAAAATGGACCCCAAAACAGCAAGCCTTTTGACCAAATTGAACAAGCCTAATTGCTAACATACCTGTAGGATGTATGTCAAGTGTCCTTTCCAAAGCAATAAAAAGCATAAAATTTAATTGGGTATTCCACACTGAAAACAAACTTTACAATTTGCTTACAGTAAAGAAGTCTGTCTTCACAAAAATATTCTGAAACATATGTATTTTCATGCAAATGCTAAAGGCTGCATTTAGTATTTATTGTAAGAGACATAGCATATGGGGTAAGACATTGTGAATTAGGTTATTATTTTGGAAGGTAACTTGGTAAAATAATTGTTCTCAAAGGGCAAACATCACATTCTGTCAACAAATATAAAAGTTCAAAAATTGTCCTCCTGTTTACAAATTGATTTTAATGCCGCTTAACCTCCACTGAACATTGTTATTTTTAAAAGCTGCTTCCACATCCAAAGCAAGAAAATTCTAGTTCACTTAACAAAACAAAAACAGAACTGAGTTTCAATGTATCTAGGAGAACAAATGTTATAAATCTAGCTGCTTTCAGGCAATAATTATATAAGAAACAAACATGCAGCCACTATGAGGATTTGAATCAATGATTATAAGCAAGTTTAGGGGTTTCCATTAGACTTCATTTGGTTTCTTCGTTTTCTTTTTCTTCATCCGAAAAATGCGGAACAGATTTCTTCGCTACAACATTGTCCAGTCTTTGTCCTTGGAGATACGGATTTACACTCTGAAATATAAATATGTATACACACATTAAAAAAGTAATTAGGAATGAGAAAGAATTCTGAGAAATGTTCTATAGTATTCAACTATATTCAGGATGTTTGTGCTTGAGTGAGCGTGCTAAAGATGATGGCCTAAAATGTTCTCCTTTAATCTCAATTCTGAAAGGTTGGGAATCTCTTATCTAGAATTCTGAAATCTAAAATATGTGCTAGTAATTCCAAACATAGTGTGCTATCAGAAAACTATTAGCATGAAATGAAATAGCCACATGTGTATATTAAAGGTTTCCTGAGATACTATATATAGTAGGCACTTGGTATCCACCAAGGTTTGGTTCCCGGACCTTCCATAGACAGATAGATTCTTTAGATCAGTGGTTCTCAACCTGTGGGTTCCCAGGTGTTTTGGCCTACAACTCCCAGAAATCCCAGCCAGTTTACCAGCTTTTAGGATTTCTGGGAGTTGAAGGCCAAAACATCTGGAGACCCAAAGGTCGAGAATCACTGCTTTAGATAGTAAGGTGACATCTCAGTGAGCCCTCCGCAGTCACTGGGGTTAGGGGCACGGAATTGATAACTGTTAACCCGAGAGAACATTTTCTAGGAATTTCTAGGTCTTCCAGCATGACTAGAAACATTTCTAGGAATTTCTTGGTCTTCCAACGTGATTGTATGGTTATCTTCCAGTGGATGATGACCACAGAATTGCAATGGAAGACCCAGAGATACCTAGAGAGGTTTTGTTTCTAGAATATTCTAGGTCAGTGATTCCCAACCTTTGGTCCACCAGTTGTTTTGGACTTAAATTCTCAGAAATCCCAGCATTTACAATCAAAATGGTGAATAACCCAATCCACCAAAATGTGCAGAGGGTGACTATATACAGTGGCATGATAAAATGGTGCCCTTTTGTCAGGATCTTATGCCTAGGATGTGTCATAAGGAAAATGGTTTTGTCTTGATTTGACTGCTAAAACCTTGCAATGTCATATATTTTATTATGAATGTCATGCCTTTTGTTATAAGTAACTATTAAATTGTATTAAGCTCACAACATTTTAGCAGATAGGAATTAGGGTAGTCAACTGCATATTGTAGTTATGAAGTAAGTAATGGGCACTGCTTATCACTGTTATGAGACACCTGGGAGAAAAGGGAGTTTGGTCTGGGAGTAGCAATGCACTGGGATCCAAGGTCGTTCTCATGTGAACTGGTATTTGGGTAGATAATGTAATGTTTAGATTAACTGAGCAATTAAAAAACTGCAAAAAGGGGAACTGAGAGATTCCTGTGGGCCAATGGGATTGTAATGTTGTGAAAGGTTTGAATGTATGGGATGTATGATTATAGCAATCCTCAGATCCCTTCCACACAGCTATATAAAATCTACTTGAACTGGATTATATGACGGTGTGGACTCAGTTAATCCAGTTCAAAGAAGTTATTGTAGATTATCTGCCTTGATATTCTGGGTTGTATGGCTGTATGTAAAGGCCCTCAATTGTGATAAAAGTAGCATGTGCTTTGAATAAAGTTCTATTTCTAATTTGTACTTACAATATGATAAAATTGAGATTTGCTTTTTGGATTTTTTAAAAAATACGTTTAAGTCATGGGTATTTGAATCTCTGGATGGAGAATCCACTGATACAGAGGCTCAATTGTCATAGTCTGCTGCATTGCAGCACAATTTAGTATCGCAGCTAACCTCAGCCTCCAGCTGGATCATGCACTTCAGCCACAACCTAAATTCGTTGCATCTGTCTGAATGATTTAATAAATCCTAATGCAGATAGAGAGCAATATTACATGTCCTATAAGGCAGGCACACCACAAACAGTGGAATACATATATAGAGGAAGAGTTACTTATAGAATTGATATATTTTGCTCTTTTATACTCTAAAAGAAAACCTTCAATAGGGGAAGAGGTGAAGTCCATTTTGAATTTTAGTTTGAAAACAACGTGCCATGACTTGAACAGTATGTTAGGAAAAATTAATTCAGATGAAAGAAGCATCTGTGAGAAAGGTATCACTTTGGTTTGGTGCAGAAATGTTTGGGGAAGCAAGGAGTACAACCAAATGTAAACATTTGCAAATAGTACATCTATATTGTTCCTTCAACAATCTGATTTGACTTTGTGTTACTGTCTGAACCCAGAGGAAAATGAGAACAAGTTGTACTTTGAAAATTACCCTTTTCTTTCGTTTTGGTCCGCCCTTCATTTTCTCAAAGAGTAAATTCTTATTCTGAAAGAAAAAAAAGAATACAAAGTATGGATCACATTTTATAACTTCTTTTCAAGCAAGACTTTATACCATGTAAATATTAGCATATGAATATTTTGGAAAGCAGTTTGGGAGAGAATGTCATGTTGCTGGAAGATAAACCACAAGAAAACATTTGAATTACTACAGCTATTAATAAAATATTTTTGCTATTCTTCTAGGATACACAGTGTCATCAACTATTATAAGAATTGGGAGAAATGGTGGTTTGGAGTGTAAGATGGTTCTAATCGAACTGTCTCAGCAAGAGAAGAGTCAGAGTGGAATAAACAAAGGCATTTCTGAGCACATGCTTAATATGGATGAGATCCCAAGTTAAGGCCCCAGCTACACAGATCTCAGATTCCAGGGGAAACCTCTGCCTCAGACTTAAAGGACTTTTCCAGACAGGCCGTTACCCCAGGAGCATCCGTGTTTAAAAAACACGGCTGTTCCTGGGGGCCCATCTACACACACCCCAAAAATTGCACGCTTTCTGGGGTGGGTGTCCACATGTTCTTCCAGGACTGCCAAGGAGAACACCGAGACACTGTAACCTCTTTCCCAGAAGCCCCCCCCCCCCAAACAGAGTAAGAAAACAAAACAAAACAAAAGATGGCTGACCATGTTCTCCTGGCACATACAAATGATTTTTTTGGAGGGGGGGCAGGAGCGATTTTCTTCCCTGCCCCTTTCTCCTGGCACATCATTTGTTTACGCCAGGAGAACTCTGGCAACCATCTCATGGAGCCCAGGCGAGTTTTGTTTTTTTACTCTGTTCTGGGAAGCTGTTGGGGAGGGGGTTGGTATTCCCATGGTTTTCCGGGCTAATTTAACCTGGAAAACCATGGGAATAGTGTCTGGACTGCACTACTTCCAGGGATTGCAGTTCAGACACCGGAAGTAGTGGGTTTATCCTGCGCCTACCAAGAAGGCACGGAATGAACCCACTATCAAATTAATTTGCTACAAACCAGTGGTTTCCTGGTTTGTGGCAGATTAATTTGGGTTTGTTTAGGACGTCATCTGGACAACCCCCTTTTTATTGCAGAAGTCTCTGCAATAACGTGGCTGTGTGGATGTGCCTATGAGATCTATTGTCTAGGCCTGGGCTTCTTAAACGTTTTTCACTCACGACCCCTTTCCATCTGAGAATTTTTATGTATATAAAAATAGTATATAAAATAGTGATAAATATCAAAAGTTTACTGATCATAAATCAGGAATTGTAAGGCATGCTAAACAGGCTTACAGTATTTTCCTTTTTGTGAAGTACAGCTGTAGGTTATATTTCAGAGGAAGGAACGAGCAAAACCACTTCTGATAATTCCATGCAAAAGAAAACTCTACAACATTCATGGAGTCACCATAAGATGACAAACAACTTGAAGGGACATATATTTATACAGCTTGAAGGGATATATATTTATTCAATACCCTAAAGCAGAGCTATCCAAACATTTCATGTTGGTGACACACTTTTTAGACATGCATCATTTTGTGACACAGTAATTCAGTGTTACTAGCAAACCAGAAGTTAAACCAATGGCTTATAAGAGATAAGGACACATGCATCAACAGTAGCAACAAAATGTATAGGGACACAATGTATCTTATGAAAATCTTTCATTTATATTTTTAAAATATATGATTTAATGCTGATTTCACATAGACTCAGAGGTTCCTTGTTATGTTTGTGCAACACACATACTGCAGCCGACACACTAAAGTGTTATGAAACACAGTTTGGAAAGCTCTGCCCGAAAGGCACCAAGCCCTGGCTCATGCTTGGGTGGAAGACAGTCAATGAATACATGTTGTAGTAGGCTATGTTTCAGAGAAAGGAACTAACAGGAATAATACTTGAGTATTTTTCACCCCTAAGAAAATCTTTAAAAATCTATTGGGTCACCATAAGTTAAAAAGTAAGTTAAAAAGTAATTAAAAGTCACACACACATCAAGAGTAGATAGTTTTAAATTGTCGGGTCAAGAATAATTGGTTTGAGGCAGGACTATATTTATTCAGAACTTTGTTCCTAATGGCTTTTGACTCTTTAGGTTATATTTATGTCTGGCCGCCAGCAGAACAAATACCATAGACGTGATTCCTTCTCCTTCTGCATTCCCCTTTAACTTCCTCATCTGCTCTGGAAGACATAGGATGGATCTACGTTGCCATACAATGCCGTTTCAGAATGCAGTTTAACTGCACTGAACTAGATTATATGGCACTGTAGAATCATATAGGCCAATTCAATGCAGTTAATCTGCATTCTGAAACTGCATTATTTGGCAGTGTAGATCCAGTCTTGGGGACCATAGAGAGTATATTTTGTAGGATGTGAAGGGAGGAAAATGGACATCACACAAGGACAGGTGGGTATGCTTTTGAATGCTTTGAAAAGCAGGGAAAGAAGCTTATAGCCAGGTATAGAGGATTTAGAATTATATTCTGCCTTTTCCCACAGAATGGGAGTCCGAACAGTTAAGAATAAAATGCATACATAAATAAACAATTGAAACAGATATTTTAAAAAATATTTTATAATATGTTTTTAAATTTTAAAAGGAATTATTTTATTTTTTTGCCTTGTCAGAAGCGACTTGAGAAACTGCAAGTCGCTTCTGCTTTGAGAGAATTGGCCATCTGCAAGGACATTACCCAGGGGACACCCAGATATTTTTGACGTTTTACCATCCTTGTGGGAGGCTTCTCTCATGTCCCCACATGGGGAGCTGGAGCTGACAGAGGGAGCTCATCCATGCTCTCCCCAGATTCGAACCTACGACCTGCCGCTCTTCAGTCCTGCTGGCACAAGGGTTTAACCCACTGTGCCGCCAGGGAGACTACTGAATTCCAAATTCTATCAAGTCCAGGCAGCAGATTCAGCACTCGTAAATTATAGGAACTATAGTCCTGTAATATCCAGGACTTTTCTTTTAATCTCTGTTCAAGTCTTTATCGCAAGTGCTTTCATTTCTATATTTTATTCAAGTTGTAAAATCATTGAGTTGGAGGAGGATCACCTAGACCAATCTTTTGCTCATCAGCTAAAACATTTTTGGCAGGAGGTCATCCCATCTCTGTTTGAAAACCACTAACAAAGGAGAGTCCCACACCTTCCAAGGTATTTTTTCTACTTTAGGAAACAGCTTTTAACTTCATGTTCTTCATAAAATCTTAATTGAAATCTCCTTCCTTGTAATTCAAATGGATTGGTTCAGGTTCTGTCCTCTAAGTCGGAAGAAAACAAGCTGCTCCATCCTCCATATAACAACACTTTGAAGATGACTATCGCTTCTCAAATGTCTCTTCTTCAGACTAAACATATCCAGCTCCCTTAAGTCTTCCTTGTAGAACTTAATTTCCCAAATCATTACAATTCTGTTCACCCATCCTTTGGACATGTTCCAGAGTAGCAAATTCCTTCTTAACCTGTAGTCCTTCAAGGTGTGGATCAAGCAGAATAGAGTGGTACTTTTACTTCTCTTGATTCCTTTGCACTACTGACTCATGTTTTACTTTGGGTTTATTAAGATCCTTTTGACACATAATCCTGTCAGAACCATATGCTGCTTATCCTATATTTGTATATCCAGTTTTTCCTGCCTAAATGTATTAAGTTGTTGATTACGCTGGGTAACCTCATCAAAACCCTTCCCTTCATTAAAAACCCATCTTTAAAAACATCCTTTTAAAAAACAAGAAAGTGCACAATGTTTGGTCTAGAGATTTAATAGACTGAACCTTTTAAAGCATCCAAAGTTGTCTTGGCAGACAGAAGAAGAAGAAAAAGGAAAAAGGCAATGTCTATGACCACGGCTTGTACAAGTGTTTCCACATATTGTTATATTTCATAAATGTAGTGAGCTCAAATAAGATTTGGAATGTGAGACACATACTCCACAGATTTTTTTTCAATTGGCATGGTAGTTCTGAATCAAACAAAGTGGAGAAAAAGAGATTAGATTAAAATTAGGAGAAAAGCGAAATGCAGTGTCACAGTTATATAAACAATTGACCAAATAGTCGCAACACAAACAGAAGTAGTGAAAAAGTCACAAAACAATCATTCCTAAAATAAGCCTTGTTTTTTGAGAATCAAATGCTTTAGAGTGATTTGTGCCAAACATTATCTGTTGGGTACTTTTCATACTAATTTAAACCCAAGTTCACAAGACATAACTTTTGACTGACCTCAAACTATTTCATCTAAAGTGTGCCAAAAGGACAGGGAAACATTCTTGGCTATAATCACTTTTGCAAAATTATTGGGGGGATGATTCTTTAGGAAGTAATATATAATTTATAGTTTATTTTAATCTAATGTTGTAATTTAGTCATCTAATAAAAAGAGTTTTTTCTATTTCTTTTTTTTTAAAGTTGCACTGCAATTCAAATTAGAAGTTGCATCTTTAAAGTTCAATTGCTTTGGGACAACAAAGATCATATTTTTGTTTTGTCTTCTTGGAAATATTTTTAAACCATAACTAATTTTAAGTATAAATGGAACAGAGTGCAGATAAGTCAGTGGAATTTGATAGATAATATTAACTCGGTAACAAGTGTAAATCTGAAAATGCTGTGTGTCCCTGAAGTTCCACCAAAGAGAACACTCAGCTTCTGATGAGATGCTGAATATCTTTTGCTTACATCTTGAACTGTACTGAACAGGAAATCACACTTTATATATCATAGGATGGACTTCTCAGGAAGAGTTGTACTTCTTGCACTCCAACCCAGAAACATTGAATAGCAAGTGCTTGAAAAATTTGAGGAGATGCTGAAAACACATCTCCTTTGCTAAGTAGAAAGATATGGCTTGAGTGCTTGGACATGCATACATGAATCAAGGCACATATTAGGATTGGTCTGGAGCACAGCCATTTAAAGTACAGAATTCACAAAACCATAGATACATAGAGTGGGAGGAGAACCCAAGGGCACAACCCCATTCTGCCATGCAGGAATATACCATCAAAGCACTCCCAACAGATGGCAAACTAGCCTCTGTTTAAACACCTACAGAGAAGGACACTCCGACCACAATCCAAGGCCACTGTAAAACAGCTTAGGAAGTTATTCCTAATATTTAAGTGGAATTTCTTTTCCTGTAATTTGCCTCTGTTGCTCCATGTCTTAGGGCCCATCCAGACAGCCCCTTAGAAGCGGGAGTTCTTGAGATTTCCCATGAGATATTCAAACAACGCCCTGTGTAAAAGCAATTGCATTCATCACAAAGCAGAACTTTCTTTGTAGCAAATTAATTTGACAGTGGGTTAGATCTGTGCCTTCTTGAAAGGCATGGATTGAACCCATTAAAGCCGCTGTCTGGACTGCCTTCTCAGAAGTCCTGGACAGCCCTATAGAACCGTGGTGAGGGCATCCCCCCGCATTTAAAACCCCTTCAAAAATAAAATAAGTTATAGGGCTGACATTTCCCTGCTACCAGTCCTCTCCTGGCTCCTAGCAATGATGTGCCAAGAGAAGGGGGGAGGGGAGGAGGAAAATCACTGTTGCTCTTCTGGCATGTCATTCCTATGCACCAGTATCATGGCGGCTGAGTAAGTTCTTTTGTCCCCCCCCCCCTCCCATTTTAAAGGGTTTGGGGAGGTGTAGGGGCTGTCTCCCTGTCTTCCCAGAAGGTTCTAGAAGGGCATCTGGACACCTGCCCCAGAAAGCACACACTTTCTGGGGCATGTGCGGACTATAGTAAGGGTGGACTCACATTTTTAGATGCGATTTCTCCCAAATTACAGGGTTGTATGGAGCCACCCTCAGTCTCTGGAGTAACAGAAAAGAAACCTCCATCTTCAATATTTAAATATTCCTTTCAAATATTTAAACATGGCTCTGTCATCCCTCAATCTTCTCTTCTGCCACATCCCCTCGTAAGGCTTGATTTACAGACCTTTTACCATTTTGGTTGCCTCCACTAGACACATTCCAGCTTGTCAATATCCCTTCTCAATGGTGGTGCCCAGAAATGGACACAGAATATTCCTTGTGAGGCTTGACCAAAGCAGAATAGAACAGTACTATTACTTCCCTTGATCTAGAGACACTAGACTCCTATTGATGCAGCTTAGAATCACATTGGCTTTTTAGTTGCTGCATCACACTATTTAGACATTTCTTTTTCTTTGTTGTGGTCAGACCACTTCCTGTTGAGGTTGGGGTTGCCACTGGCATCACCCCTCTGTAAGGATGAGGAGGCTATTAAAATTGTGCATTTCCATAGAATAATTGATTTATTTTTATTTTTTTGCATTCCCAAGGATTCTAGGAATGTTTCTGGCTGCTGAAGTTTGATGCTCCTGCTGCCCTCTGATATGGGCAGTTGACATAATCATTTCCATTTGGCCTTTTCTTCTGAGAAGAGCCAATATAAATCCTCAGTGTATACCTTGCCTAGGAGCCCCTGGTGATGCAATGGGTTAAACTCTTGTGCCAGCAGGGCTGCTGACCAATAGGTCACTGGTTCAAATCCAGGGAGAGTGAGTTGAGCTCCTTCTGTCAGCTCCAGCTCCCCATGTGGGGACATGAGAGAAACCTCCCACAAGGATGGTAAAACATCAAACATCCATGCATCCCCTAGATAACGTCCTTGTAGACAGCCAATTCTGTCACACCAGAAGCGACTTGCAATTTCTCAAGTTGCTCTTGACACAAAAAAATTACCTTGGCTGAAGACAACAAAATAAGCTGAAAGACGTTAGATTTTCTAATTTTTTTTGAAAAAATTTCTTTCTTGATGTATTTTTGCTGGTTTTGGTTTTCCATCATATGTTTTTGTTTCTATTTTTAATGCTTGTATAGTGTAAAAGAGAGAGAGAGAGTTGTTTAAATCTGGAGATCAGGCTGTGAATTTCTGCTTGGCCATGGAAATCCAGTGGATGACCTTGGGCAATTCACACCTTCTCAGCCTCAAAGGAAGACAAAAAAAATCTTGCTAACCCATTATAGGGTTGTCTTAGAGTCACCGTAAGTTGAAAAATGACTTGGAAGGCAAACAACACTATAAACAACGTATTTTAGGACTTTTAGACAATTATATTATAAGATAGTAAGAGGACTTTTCACAGAAAACAGTAAATGTTGTACACCAGGGATGTGAAGGTGTGTAGAGGACCACTTCCAGCTCTTCTCAGTCCTACATGGGCCACATCACCATCATTTTTAGGAACCAGAAACTATATTCTAGTCACTTGTTAGCTTGGGGAGTAATTTTCAACTGTTCTATGATAGTTTTTCTGCAAAAAAGCATTAAATTGCAAAACCTCAGCCCCTATGCCATCTGGGACCCCCTTCCACACAGCTGAATAAAATCCCACATTATTTGCTTTGAGCTGGAATGTATAGCAGTGTGGACTCAGATAACCCAGTTCAAAGCTGATATTGTGGGATTTTCTGCTTGATATTCTGGCATATATGGCTGTGTGGAAGGGCCCTGGGTCATCATCGAGAGCAGAGGTGTCAAACCTGTGGTCCTCCAGATGTTTGGGCCTCCAATTCCCAGAAGCCCTAGTCAGCTTCTCCAAGAGTGCAGAATTCTGGAAGCTGAAGTCCAAAACATCTGGAGGGCCACAAGTTTGACATCATTGATCTAGATCATTGATTTTCAGTTGATATTTTTGTCTTTCTTTTTCAAAATTTTAACCTTGAGAGTTTCAGAGAATCTGAGGGATGGCCAGACAACACAGACCCTCCTTAGTGCTGTGTGTAGCCTACATGAATCAAAGGTTCATGAATCAATGAGCTAACCAAGAACTCTGGTCATTCATGAGGGTTGGCTCACGAATTAACGAGCCAACCAAAGACGAGCATTTTTAATCCACTGGTTTTGTTAAATGCTCGGATCATGCTTTATATTTGCAAGACTGCACCTACAGTAGAGTTGGATCCATGGCAGCCTTTCAGATGGTTATGGACTGCAGCTTCCATAATCCTTCCTCATTAATTATGGTGAGTAGTGATGATGAGAGTTGCAGAACAACAATATCAAGAGGGCCAAATTGTCTACCCATAAGGACATAATGCATGAGGACAACCAAGAAAACAGTTAATTGTTCTCGAAGTAGCATTAAAAATAAATTACTTTAAATGGCATAAATGGTTCATTTCAGTTCAACATCTGGTGTTTTTAATTTTACAGCTTTGGTAGTCAAGCACGTTATAGTAAGAATTTCCAGGATTTTTCCTCCCTATTGACCAAAAGTTTAGTAAGTATGTAAGTAATTAATGATATAATTTTGAAATTGGGTCAGGCCCCTTCAACATTGTCCTTATATCCCAGGATTTGATCCCAGGTTATCTGCTTTGAATTGGATTATATGAGTCTCCACTGCCATATAATATGGAATAAGAATTGGGAGCTGTGTAGCGGTGGTGGGAGTGAGGAATGGTGGGTGTGTTGTTTTGTGATGTGTGCTGGGGAAAGCATTTAATTTCTTTGTACAATGTACAATGGCAATAAAGTTATTCTATTCTGTAATCTGGGGTCAGATCCTGGGATATAATAACTGTGTAGAAGGGGCCTCAGTTCAGTTGCTGAATCCTTTCTCTTGTGCATGGTGCAAGAAAAAGCATTATCAACCCAAAACACTGATCAGTAACAGAGTATGTACAGTTTTACTCTGTAATACATAGAACTGAAAGTTGTATAACAACCTTGAAATGCAGTCTCCTCCATTCTAGTCTCAAGTTATGAACAAATATTTCTGATAGTTATATATATATATATATATATATATATATATATATATATATTCACATAAAAACAAATATGGTTTGGCTTATATGAATTGCAGATTGATAAACTTGCAATCTAGGTCTAAAAATGTAGATAAAGCATGGGCAAACTTCGGTCCTCCAGACGTTTTACACTTGCAACTCCCACAATTCCTAACAGCTGGTAAGCTGGCTGGGATTTCTGGGAGTTGAAGTCCAAAACACCTGGAGGGCTGAAGTTTGTCCATGCCTGACCTAGATTATCTCAAATCTTTCAAGACAAAGGACATGGGTCACAGAAGGACACAGAAGTGTATCCCCAACAGCTTTGTAATAGTATATATTAGCAATTATTTGGAAAATTACAAAATGAAAAAGATTTACACACCCATTTGCCCATGCTAGGATAGTCATGTTCCGGATCAAAGAGGTGCTGATGAAGTTGATATTCTTTGCTGAACTGTGCTGTATCTGGTGTGTTTTCAAGGCATCCATCATCAACTACAAAGATAAAGAAAGCAAGAAGGAAAGAAAGACAAGAATCTGAGCAACTAGATATTGTGTGTGTGTGTATACACACACACACATCCCAAAATGTCCTCAAGAACATATGCAATGGAATTTATTATAAAACAATAGCAAATAAAATGTTAACTTTTTTTGGAAGCAATGGTTAAAAGTAGTTTAAAATAATATCCACGATCCCTGGAACTGATATAAAGTACAAGCACTTTCTACCAATTTATTCACACATAGTCATAGGATAATGTGTAAGCAGAAGAGATAGCTTCATATATCTCAATAATTTAATCATGTACATTTGTATTTCTGTTCATACTAATAAATTCTTCTTGGCCACATTTTCATTTTTGTTCTGTAGGTTGCAACTCAAATGTGAATTCATAGTCTTTTTCTCCAAAATAAGTAGACAAGGTTCAGAACCTGATACCACATCTATCACAGATGGTTATGTATATTTAGGATTAAAATGGTTTATTATTTGAAAAGTGATGTATATCATAATGTGTACAATGAAACACATACAAGGAAACACTCAATAGAAAGAGGAGGTTTCTGGAGTTTCATTGGGTCAGATTTTCTGGGACCACATGCAGCTGTTGTGGGCCAGCAGTTGTGGCTATTTAGAACTTCATCACATGGGCAAACCTAGCCATCCTGGGATGCTTTCAGCACAGTTCAGGGATGGAGCCTGACAGATCCCACCAAAGAACACACAGCTACTTCCAGCAGCTCCATCCCCAAACTGTGCTGAAAGTGTCGTAAAATGGAGCAACAAGAACACAGGAGGCTTCCCCCATTGCCCCACAAATTCTCCATGATACCTGACAAATCCCCTGCTGTTGCATGCGTTAGGACAACTAATGTGATGAGGCTCTAAGATCCAGCTAAGCAAGATTAGCTGGGTGGGTTCAGGAGCTGGTAAACACCCTAGTCTGTAAAGGGAAAGTATCTACTTTTTTGAAGGAAACTGTGATGTATTCTCTTCTGAACTCAATTGACCCAGAGACCTATTTGCTAATATCCTTTTTCTGAACAAAGTGTTGAAGCATGTGGTAGCTTAGCAAAATCTGGAGGAAACAGATTTTCAGGATCCATTTCAGTCTGACCAGGGTCTGGCACAGAAATTGCTTTAGGTGCTCTGATTAATAGCTGGAAAGTAGGGGTCATCCAGTGGTTTTTGATACTCTTGATTGTTGTATCTTATCAGATCAATTCTACAGGATGGGCAAAAGAGGAGCAGTTTTACATTGGTTCCTCTCCTATCTACAATACAAGTTTCAGAGAGTAGCACTATAGGATTTCTCTTTGATCCCATGGCTATTAAGCTGTGAATGACATAGGATCCACCAATTGGGCCTGTCCTGTAGAGGGTGCACCCCCCATGAATGGGGGGTGCACTCTCTACAGCTTGAGAGGACTCCTAGATTCATCCGTGACAGCATACAATGCCAGCATTAAAAGAATTGCACTGATTGCCAATAGTCATCTAGTCTGAATTCAGGGTGCTTATGATTATATTTAAAACCAATGGCTTGGGACCTCAATACTAGAGAGAGTGTTTCTCTGTCAGGAGCAGATGTCTGAGTTTCCAAGTGACAGCATAAATCCTCTCCGTGACATGTGCCTGACTGAGGATTCAGTGGGGCTCTCCTGTGTCCCACCCATGAGGTCAATACACTTATGGTCAATACACTGATGGTCACCAACACAGATTTGATTTATATGCCAGGGAAAAACCTGGCTTTGATGAAGAGGTTTTATTGATTCCTCTTAAATACTTAAGTACTAACTTTTAAATTGTTTTAATGTTTTAAAATTGTTTTAACTTATTATGTTAAATGCCTTTTAGCTTTTTGGAATTATTTGATTTGTTTTAAATGATTTCCATTTACTTTTAAGCTGCACTAAGATCTTTTTGATACAGGGCAGTGCCGATTTTTTTTAATAAATAATAAATATCTGCACATATGGATACATAACATTGGTATGCATGTGGTTAAATCTGAAGTCTCTGGGATAGTTCTGCCTGCTTGTAACTGGATCACTGATCCATCTTCATTCAGAAAATCAGAACTTTTCAATTAGCTGAACATCTGCTGAAAACTGGAAATGTGCGTATTTCCACCATGAGTTAATTGCAGTAGCCAACTAATATCGGAAAAAACGATAATAAGACTCCACTTGTTTTTTGCCAACACATACTTACTAATGTGTTTTTGAGCACTTGAAAAATTCCGTTCTTTTGCAAAGAACAAAAATTAGGGTGGTTTTTTCCATTACACAGCTGTGAATGCCCAAAATGCAATACATTGGGAGAAATCTGTTTATCTTTAGTCTATCTCTTTGCCAATAACGATACTTTATCACTGGCTGCTCAGTAAATAATGTCATCAATTATACACATTGTCAGCTCAAGGTTGACTGTTAAAAAAGCTGTTAAATTTGACAGATGCCTCTGTGATCCTGTTATGTACTGGAAAGCCACATAAATGGGGAAAGGTTTTGGAAGTGCCAACTCCTCATGATCCCTTAACACACACACACACACACACACACACACACAAATTGCCAGGACAGTTACATATTCCCTCTACAAACAAAGTAATTTCCTTAATATATCTGATCTTCATCTGTTCTGGTAACATGGAGCTTTTAAAGCAATGATTTGTTTGATGAATTGTATCACAGTTATCATTATTTACAAGCCATCAGATTAAAGGCTATCCCAACTGGCTTTGCTATGGGCAAAAAGTAGAAAAGGCAGTATCTTCTGAATTAATCCCCTCCTACACTATTATGTGCTTTTCCTTTTGTGTCATGGATTAACTAGATTATAATCCTGATGGCACAGTGGTTTAAACCAGTGAGCTGCTGAACTTGCTGACGGAAAGGTTGGTGGCTCGAATCCATGGAGCGGAGTGAGCTCCCACTGTTAGGCCCAGCTTCTGCCAATCTAGTAGTTTGAAAATGTGCAAGTTGAGTAGATCAATAGATATCACTTCTTTGGGAAGGTAATGGCACTCCATGCAGTCATGCTGGCCACATGACCTTGGAGGTATCTACGGACAACGCTGCCTCTTCAACTTCAAAATTGAGATGAGCACCACCCCCCAGAGTTGAGCTTGACTAGATGTAATGGCAGGGGAAATCTTTACCTTTACTTAATCCTGATGACAGGGAACTATTTTGTTCTTTTACTTGTAAAGCACAGTGTAGAGCATGGGTCCTCAAACTTTTAAAGCTGAGGGCCAGTTCGCAGTCCCTCAGACTGTTGGGAAGCCCAGACTATAGTTGGGAAAAAATGAACAAATTCCTATGCACACTGTACATATCTTATTTGTAGTGCAATCCCCCATACAATATTGAAATAATACAAACTTTAAAATGAAGAACAGTTTTAGCCATCATAAACCAGTATTTCAATGGGAAGTGTGTGCCTGCTTTTGGCTGATGAGAGAGTCAAGTTAATTAGGACTGATGTTGTTGTGTGCCTTCAAGTCGTTTTCAGGCTTAGGGCCACCCTAAGTCTAAAGTTTCGGCTGGGGCCTGGGTAAATAACCTTAGAGGGCCACATTTGGCACATGGGCCTTACTTTGAGGACCCCTAAGGTAGAGCAATGGTGCTAAATAAACAAATAAATAAATGAGGAGGAGGAGGAATGTTGAAGATTATGACAATTTAAGAAACTGCTAAAACAGAGATTTTAAATCTAGCAACTTTAACAATACTACAGAATAAATCTGCCAAGTGCAATTGCTATGTTAGGAAAGGAGTGAAGCTACAGAAGAACAGCATGAGTTTCACTGGAGGACAGCTTAGGTGTCAGAATACTTGCATCCAGCCATATATCTTGCTGTGGAAATAACTAAGAAAAGCTTGTTTTTCAGAAAACCAGTCATACAAAACACATTGTGGAAATTCTCTAATATGTTTAACATGTTATCTATTTTTACAGTCTCCACTTTAGGCACAGAAAGGAGTTAATAAATCTCTGAAAACTATTTTACATACATCCCGGTAAAAAAAGATTCTCCACTCAGAGGGAGCAGAAGCAATTTCCAAGGACTGGATCAGTTATTTCCATCTGGATATATTATTTTAGAATCCTTCAAGACTGACCAATCTCAGAATTTGGTGAGAATGGTATCTATACTTTAAAAGATTGCTTGTTTTAATATCCATGTGACATATTTCTTTTCCCAGACATTCCCTCCTAAAATTATGGTACTAGCCACAATTTTATTTCCACTGCAGGGGGTAGTGGGCTTTTTTTTCCATCTTGGAAGTTTCCAGTACAGTCCAGTGGAAATTTCCTGTGCCTGTATCCATTGCCCTGGTTCCTCCCTACTATATATTTCAGCAACCTCCCATTATGAGTTTTAGAATAGAGGTTTTCCAGTGGTCTTTTGTCCTTCATGAGAATTCTGGCTGCCAGTTTGAATGTTTCCTTCCCAGGCTCCTTTTTAGACTGATGGTGCTAAAATGATATGGTCTTTTATCACTATAGCATTACGACAACACAAAAAACTGAAACAATTAATAAACAGAAAATTATAAACCGAAAACAGAACTAATGTACAGGTGAGGAACATGGATACTTGGAGAAAGCAGATGGCCAGATGGGAAGTGCTGAGTTCATGGGGCTCAACTACATGAGCCCCCAGTGGCACAGTGGTTTAAACCCTTGCACCGGCAGGACTGAAGACCAACATGAGAGAAGCCTCCCACAAGGATGGGAAAACATCAAAACATCTGGGTGTCCTTTGGATAACGTTCTTGTAGACAGCCAAAACTCTCACACCAGAAGCAACTTGCAGTTTCTCAAGTAGCTCCTAACACACACACACAAATCTACATGACTCACATAAGCTGTAGTCAATCTGAAGTAGCAATACTGGCTTGGGAGCACCTACACTATCCATCTCCATCCCACAGCTGTGGTGAGGAAGGACCAGGCAATCCGGTGGACTCAAAACTAGTTCAGCCCAAATTGAACTGACACCAAATTTGGACACAATATACCTATCAGGCCAACAAGTGACCATCACTCATAAAACACTGAAAAACACAGCAGAAGAGACTTAAAAAGCCAAAAAGAATGCATTACAATGCATGCACAAAACCATATATACGCAAACACACACACACACACACACATATATACACATATACACAAACATATACACATATAAAGCACATATACACAGGCTGGGCCACAACAACGCGTGGCAAGAAACAGCTAGTATTTCTATTTTAAAAAATTACCCAATAGCTGTCTATAGCTAGGCACACCATAATTGGTTTTTACATATTTCTCAGACCACATAAACATGCAAGTCACTTGGAAATGTTTATTAACATTCCCTAGTATTGTTTTTTCCTGTTTTCCAAGATGTTTGTATCATGTGACTGGAAGTTGAATGAAACATTGCCTAAGATCTTCTGTATATTTAGCTTTGAACAAGCATGCATATGCTTAGGCTATAAACCCACAATTTAGACCATTCACACTAGCCTGCTCTTGGGTATTTCAAAGTTTCAAGCACTGTTCAACATTGTTCCAAGTCAGTGGCAGCTTTGCTAATGCCAAGACTTGGGTGTAATTTAGATCAATTGTTAATGCAAAAGTACATCATGTTTTATTTTATCTGTTGCACAAAACAGGTAAGACACTGACCACTATGATATTTGCAGAATTCAACACCACATCCTGGAAGAAGTCCATGCAGCTCACCTGTTTTTCCCATTGGGCATGGATTGGGAGGATCTGGATACCCTTGATCATCACTGAAATCTTTAGGTATGTTGTCACCTGTCAGCTCAGCTACAATATTTGGGATATTTCCATAAGGACCCAAATGCTGCAGACCTTCATGTGCACCACCTAATGGTAAAAGAATCATGCACACATTTTCAAAACATGACAAAAATCTTATATTGATAAATCTTGAGTTTTATCTAGACACAATACTATTGCAAAACCTGAGGTCTTTTGAATGTTAGAGAATGATGATCAGGCTGAAGATAGCTATAGTTGAACATTGTCAAGTTAACTTTGCTATCTTAGCAATAATCACAACGAGTCTTTGACACACAGCTTTACATAAAGGGTGTACCAGAGAAACAAAGACTGTACAGGATGGGTAAATAATCAGAAGAGCACATTGGTCACCATGAAGTCAGCTACACTAGTACATTTAGTAGAAAAATGGGTTTTAAAAAACCCCAATAATCCTCATTCCCACTCTGTCCTGGTGAGTACAAACCTTTTTTATGCCCCATTACTACATATAATTACATGTTTCAAGATGTTAGCAATTTGGCAGAACTTGTCGTTTTTCATATTTCTTAGTAATTTGAGAAATAAGACTGTAAATATGGATGTATACCTTAGGTTTAAAGGTTGTTTACATTATTATGAATTGTTAAGAAAATGTCACACGGATATAACTTTTTCATAATATAACTCTTCATCTTAGTGAGATGAGTATTGTACTCCAATATCACAAAACAAGGAGATAGGTTAAGCATAAATTCTCACCAGTGTGTAGCTTTGCAGATGTGTGTGTGTATATATATATATATATATATATATATATATATATATATATATACACGCAATCAGATTCCAGATGTTTAACAGCACATCCAGATTTATAAATAGCACTTACTTCTCTGTATATTTATGACTTTCACATAAGATCAGGAAATCCACATGAAAAAAATGAGTGAAGAATAATTGAACTTTAATCAAATCAAAACTTCAGAATTCATTATCTTTTATTTTTATTCTTCTGAATCTTTACTGGAGGACGCTATCCACAACTTTTGAGAGTCAGTTAATGAAACATCTGTGTTCACCAGCAACATGAATCTCTTGTCCCAAATCCAATAGTTTCAGCTGTATGTTGCCTATAAGATCAGAAATAACTGATTGATCATTTATTGGGGAAATGCTGTGCTATTTAAGCCTTCATATATGTAATTATAAAGTATGGCTGGTAGTTTTCATAGGAGTGGGTTGGTGAATCTGCTCTGGGCTTTTGTCTTAATTTTAAAGGACCTAGCCAAGGTAAAAGACCTATTTTGGAGACAAGTTGAATTGCTTTCGGTAATACATATAAAGCTCAGATTTGAAAGGCAGATTTTCTTTTATACTGAGATATCCAAAATTCTTAATTATTTAAATCCAGTCTCTTTTTACACAGGCATATATTCCATATCATTGTGTATGTTGTGTACAGAATATTCCTATTTATCTAAAAGTAATGAAAGTGGCTAGATTTAAAAAGTTTGACATAGCTTTCACTCTTTTGGGGGATAACTCTTTTGGGGGATAATGAAAAGCAGCTGGTACTGAGATACCATAGTTTAGTAGTTCAAACGACATCAACATGTTCTTTATTCAAAAGATCACAAACTGGGGCCCACAACAATTCAGACTACAATTCCTTGGGGCAGGGTTGATGTGAGCGGCAGAAAAGACTAATTACTGGGGCCCAGTAGTCCAGAAAGGGGACTGACACTAACAATGTTGAATATAGAATCAAAGAATTATAGAGTTGGAAGAGACCACCAGGACCAGCCAGTCCAACCATGTCTTTCTTGATAGTATTGTCATCTGTCAGCTGTATTTGACATCCATTGTGAAATCAGTGGATTTTTCTTATCTTAAATAGACCTTCCAAATTAATGCCTAATACTGGAAACCAACAACCAAGAGTTAATTGTTCTGTCTTACATCTCCCAGTGCAACTGGATATCCATATTTAACACTTGTTGTGTGTGTATTTTGATTCTTCAGGCATCATCCTTTCACTTCTTGCACACAATCTTCTTTGCATCAGAACTCTGCTCTATATGAAATAAGGCATCTCATGATATCCATATATAGTCTATTATTTATCATACATATATAGTTAAATTTCAAGTGCTTGCCAAATTTTTCCTGGCCTACTTACAAAGTAATTTTTCAAACCAATGCACGTTATTGTTTCCATCAGTTCAAAAGTTCAAAAGCTCCTTTGTTCTCCCCAAAAGACAAAGCCAATAATCCACTGGTTTTATTTCCGTATTTTTGCCCTTTTGAGCAAATGTACTGTGTTTGCAAATCATATTCCTTCTAAACTTTCATGGATAGTTTGCCCAGTAAAGGGCCAGAGTGATAGAAACAAAGTACTGACTGTTTTATTACAGACAGTAATTCAAACACACATTAATTTTGGCACTGGGTTGCTGATGTTAGCCTTGCTAGACAGTGCAGCTCCAAAGTTAAAATAATGAAGCATAAACATGTTACCTTGTCAAACACAAACGTTAACAGAAAACCGACCTCATGATAGCACTGAAAACAGTGGCTGAGAATACAAAGGAAAGTGTGTGAGAAAGTAATTGGCAGCCTAATACGCAACAGTAACCTCAGTTCACCCACAATTGCTCCATCCTTGTGGAATCTATTTACCATATACACCCATGTATAACTCAGTCGCATGGATAAGTTGGGGGTGGATTTTAAGGGGCAAAATTATGGATTTTGTTATGCCTCTTTGAGGTATGAAGTTGAGGTTTATTCTACAGACAGGGGGGAAAGCTCCAGCCTCACCTCAAGGTAGCAGTCACCCCTTGCTGCCACCACCATTTCCCACCCAAAAGTTGTGTCGGGATGGAGAAATTAGAGGGGTTGGCACATCTTTTGGGTTCTCACAGGGTGGATTAAGCATTCACCTTCCCCATTCTATTCAGAGAAGGGGGAGATCCTTTTTGAAAAGAGTTTGGATACAGTAACCTATGGATGTGAGAGCTGGAATATAAGGAAGGCTGAGCGAAGGAAGATAGATGCATTTCAACTGTGGTACTGGAGGAAAATTCTGAGAGTGCCTTGGATCACAAGAAGATCAAACCAGTCCATACTTCAGGAAATAAAGCCCGACCGCTCACTGGAGGGAAGAATATTAGAGGCAAAGATGAAGTACTTTGGCTACATGATGAGAAGACAGGAAAGCTTAGAGAAGACAATGATGCTGGGGAAAATGGAAGGAAAAAGAAAGAGGGGCCGACCAAGGGCAAGATGGATGGATGGTATGCTTGAAGTAACTGGCTTGACTCTAAAGGATCTGGGGGTGGTGACGGCCAACAAAGAGCTCTAGCGTGGGCTAGAGGTCACGAAGAGTCAGAAGCAACTGAATGAATAAACAACAGTACAGCACTTACTCTCCAGCAAAGGATCACCGCCTTGTCGGGGCGCTGGAGCTTGAGCACCTCAATGATGTCATGAGCG